AGGAACGCAACGCGAAGGACGAGCGGATGGCCCCCACGGTTGGCGCCGGTTACTACACGGCACTGACGCTGGCGGTGTTTGCGGACCTCGGCTACTACCGCGTAAATTGGAGCATGGCGGAGCCGATGCGCTGGGGCAACAACTCCTGCTGCGGCTTCCTGGACAAGAAGTGCAATGAAACCGATGACCTCGCCGCCACGTACCCGCACATGTTTTGCGATGGGAAGGACACAACGACGCTCCGCTGCTCCTCTGACCGCCGCAATGTCGGGACGAGCACCGCAGGCATCGTTGAGCGGAGTGGGAGTCCGAGCGAGAGAGACGCGTGCCCTGTTGTTTTGACGTATTTTAATGCTTTAGCTTCTGGGACAACGTCCAACGCGTGCGCAGAGGCAACTGCGGCGACTCTCCTTGGGCCGCTGACTGGCACTGGCTCGTGGTGCCTGGACGCGGAGGCACTGCAGGTGAAGGCGAACGCCGGTGACAAGAAACTCGCGTGCGCGTGCGCGCAGGTGCGGTGCGAGGACGGCGCAGTGAAGGTGAAGCACAGCGGCGGCGACGCGTGGCAGGAGTGCCCCGAGGGGAAGTTTTTCACGCCGAAGTCGGCGTACTTCAAGGACGGCGGCAAGATCAAGTGCCCGAAGTACGCTGAGGTGTGCACCATCGCCGCCAACGGCAGCAGCCTCGTCATTCCGCGCGCTGAGGAGGAGGAGGCGAAGGGCGACGCCGAGGGTAATCAAAAGGAAGTTGAGGCGGCGAAGGAAGAAGAGGATGATGGGGAGGTTCCAGCACTTGAGCCGCAGCGTGCAGAGTGGCCTTCTGGAACTGCGGGTGTGGATCTGTTCAATCCGAAGGCTGCGGCGGGGGTGGAGACAGGCACATTGCCGGCTGCTGAGACGCAGGAGCGCGCAAAGGAGCCTGACGGTGCCGCTCACTCCGCCGCAGCCTCGCCAGACGAGGCCGTTGCCGCAGAAGAAAGCGACGCGGCGGGCGCGGCCGAAGCAGCAGTTGTGACCCCCGATTTGCCTGCGCCGCCCACCCCGACACTGGCGGCATCCGTCGACGGCAGCACCGTGGAGAAGGAACTTGACGGGGCGGCGCCGCACGCCGGAAGCGACGCCGGTGCGGCAGCGGCGGCTGTTGGCTGCAGTCACTTTGTGCTGCTCGCCGTGGCCACCGCCGCGGCGGCGATGCTGCCGCCTTGAGCCGCAGCAGGAACTGCGGCTGGGCGCCAACAAATTGCGGCGGGGGAATAATGAACATACACACGCACCTGCGTGTCCCCCGTTGAGCCCCGCACTCGGGCCGCAACGAAGCAGCAGTAATAATAATGTGCTGCACACACTCACTGCGCTACCCTTGTTTGTTTTTTGAAGGGTGTAAAGTAACAACTATTCTTGCTTTGCTTTGCCTGCCACTGGCCGCAAAGCCGAAGTCTGTGTGTTGGGCGGCCTTGCTTTGCGTGGACGCTGTGTGGGGCGAAACAATATAATTTGGAAGAAGACAAATCCCCGGCATCACACAAATATGTGTGTACACGCTCCTGTTGCTGCGGGCGGGGGAAGGGGGAGTCACTGCACTCTGAAGGGGGCGAGGGCGGGTCGGTGGATGCTCCGCCGCGGGACAGGGGAGACCGCCTTTGCAGCCGCATTTCTTGCACATGGGTTTTTTTTTTGCGCTCCTGCACCTCTTTTTCCTTCAGTGCGCCTGTGCCATTGCCTCGATGGAGGTGCCGGCAAGCAACTTTGCGTCGGTCGCCAACACGTGCCCCTGTTTTCTTTTGCTTTTTATTTTTTCCCTCCGTTGCTTTTGTTCGTTTTTGATTGCTTTTGTGTGTTGCGGGCGCTCCGCTGCGGTGGCGGGCGCGATGACTCTGCCTTTGGCGGGGGCGGCCGTGTCGACACCTCCAGTGTGTTGGAATGCCGCACTGCCGCCCCAGCTCCCACTAGTCTTCTCCTGCGCTTCCTTTGCCTTTTCTTGCGCATATGCAGGCACACACACGCACAAACGCACGATAAGTCT